ATGTATTTTCCTGAATATGTACCTATATAATTCTTTGAACATTATAGGGATTCCCTTTCGTGCGCTCCAAGCGATTAAAAAAAAAATAATAATATATAGTAGCCTCACATCAATGACACCTACCAAGAATTCCTTCAAGGTGATTGAAAGTGATCACTTTGTTATTATGAAAATCAAAAAGTCAGTTAGATAGATATACATATACAGGGTGGACCATTTTAATCTATTATAGATAATAGTTCTTTCCGGAAGCCGCTAACAAAAAGAAAGTTGAAGGATTCAATGGGGGCCAAAGAATGACCCTACTCACAACCCCCCCCCCCCTCCAGGGTCCGTATACGGCCCTGGGAGATGAAGTGTTTTTTTTTAATGGGAACCCTATCATTTCACAACGGATTCATGTTCTACAGAGAGAAACAAATCAAAAATGTCTCTAGCAAATTCTTTTTTGGGCCCCTTAGAGGGCCCCAAATTTTCAATTTTGGTATTTCAGTTGCAATAACTTATTTTAGGCTCAGGTCACACCTATGTCTTGAATATGATAACATAAGTGCAGTTCCAGCATATTACCGTGTTTTTAAGCGAACCCTTAATCTGGTTAAGGAATTTCATGTCAATGAAGATTCTTTGTTTTCTTCAACTCAAATACCAAAATTAAAAATTTGGGGCCCTTTAAGGGACTCTAAAAAGAATTTGCTAGAAACATTTTTTATTTGTTTTTCTTTGTAGAACAAGAATCAGTTGTGAAAAAATTGGGTTCCCATTGAAAAAAAACATTTCATCTCCCAGGGCCGTATGGGGGCCCTGGGGAGGGGGAGGGTGAGGGGTTGTGAGTAGGGTCATTGTTTGGCCCCCATTGAATCCTTCAACTTTTGTTTGAACCATATCTATGTTAGCGGTATGAATTTTTATTTGACCAAGTTACAAAATGAATTTTCGGTGTCAATTGTGGAAGGTGGAAGAACAGATCATAAAATGAATATACACTACAGTAAATTCAATAAAGTGGCAAATTAGTGGATCAAAATCGTAAAACAAAAAACAGTATATGAACCATGTTCAAAATATCAGAATTTTTGGTCAATGATCAAAGAATTCACAGCGTTTTCCTTGCCAACTGAGAACTGAGGTTATTAAACTCAACAAATTAAGTTTGTAAATTTTCTTCGTGTGTTCAGAAGAGTGAGTTGAAATATGTTCCTTAATTGCGTACTTGAATAATTTTACATTTTCACCGAACGACCTTAAAGAAACAGGAAAACGATTGAATAAATTCAGATCTAGCGAGTTTCACGTTGATGACTTCACTAGCCTGTGATTTCGAAATCTCAGATTATCAGCATTTATTGTCATATATATATTTATATATTATATGGACATCTGCATTTGTCACGAGGTACGTTCTATTTGTTGTGCGAATTGTATGTTTGCGATTTGAAACGAGAAGAAAAATCTGAACAGGGATGTTTTATGAATATTAGGAGGTTACTTTGGTCTTATTTCAGAGATTCAATAGCTATGAACATCTGTCCTGAATTGGATTTTTATTGTATATAAACAGGTTCAAGTGACATCGTTATAGTATTCAAAAGTAACAAGAAATGTAAAAGTCAACGCCGCTCTTTTATGTTGATGCTATCAGCAACAATAATGTGTTCAGAACCATATCACCTCACATCGCATGTAAATAATATAATATATGTGATAGAACCAAAATGACTCACATATGATGGGTAGCTCGACATTTTCTTCTCATTATGGCACGGTTAGCATAATTTTCTCTTCTAAGATTGAATATTTATGAAAAGGCAAAGATTATTCGAGAAATTAAAATGTCTAGAAAGGTATATTCTTTCATTAATATTAACATGATTCACTTCTCTTTCTTCTTGGAGAACAAAATTTGAAACACCTACCGAGTGCGTTCGCTGAATATAAATCGTAAATGGTAGAAGTCCAAGTATAGGGCCTTGAGGAACTCCATTATTTATAGAAAGGCTTCTGGATATGAGATATGACATCATTCAAGAAAACTTTCTGCGACCGATTTTCCTGATTGCACTTAAGGAGTATCACTTCAGCTTGAAGAAGCTTATAAAGCTCAGTATTGTATAGTAGGTACAGTTGATGACTAATACGATCTATAAGACTTTCCAATAGCATCTAATTGTCAAGAATAATAAGGATGGTACCTAAATGAGTTCTTTGTTGCCTGAAAATGTGTAATAAATATCGTTCAGTTAAGATTCCGACGGAATCCAGAATGGTAATAAGCAGTTCTCGATATGATCACGCATTTACTATAAAATGCTTTTTGAACGAAGGTTCTTCAATTCTTCGAGTGAATCAGTTTCAGCTAACTAGATTTATATGGCATTTTTCCAAATGCTTGCTTGAGGAACAATGTTCTTTTATGCAAAAAAATGTTCAATATTGATTATCTATACTTATATACTACATTATAATAATATAAATGAGTAGGTGAATATACAGAGGTGCCCCATCAGATTTGAATAGCAAGCCAAAGACAGCTAACATTTTCAGGCTCATCAGTTGGCGCTACTTAAACTTGAGGTCGATGTCAATGTAAGAAATCCCAACATTTTGCCAGATAGCCCTAAAGGCTGTGGCCTGTTTTATCGAAAATTTTCGAGAAAAATGAATGCTCGGGCTTCTAGATATTACCAAGAAACGAGCTTTCGATACTGTCTGTAGGTTAATCGAGGAGGTGGTAATACATTCATTATTTCAGATTTTTGGGATTGTCTCTCTTCGTTTCTATAAAATGAAGATTTCAATATTATTTCAATATACGTGTAGTAATAAGGACAAATCAGTTGATTTGCCCAAAAATCTCACTGCGTTTAAAGAATTTTCCTATCAGAGAACCTAAAACAAAAATTCACCAGATTGTCAGTGATAATTTGTATCGAAAAAAAGTTTGGAGAAGAGAAATAATATAGGTATATAGAAAAATATTAAATTTTCACTTAGCTTTGGACGTTTCGGGAACGAATCTGCTACCGTTTTCAACACATAAAGTTGATAATATTTGAATAGCAATTTCTTATTTATGTTGACATTTTTCAGTTCTCAGTGACAATTGGTGACGTTTTTGCAATCAAATGAGTTACAGGATGTTTCTATTAATTAATCTCGAATCTACCGCCATTTTCATTTTCAGATTTCAGTAGTGAATATTATGTTCTATTTTTAACAACTGAACAGGAAGCAATGCTATTGTCTCCGTTTAGAAGAATGCAAGTTTATTCCTTGATTTTTTCCCTTCTTGTTATATTTTTCTCCAATGATTTTGATATTATTCTATTGTGCCATATGTTGTCCATCTTCATACGAAAATACCGAAAAATCTGAAATAATGAGCTTTCGATGTTCGTAAAATTATCTTGCTCATTATCAATGTCCCAGGGATATATTACTGAAAATGATTGGCGAAGTCCTACTATTCGGATTTGGTACATTCTGTGTAATCTCTTATTAGCTCAGGTAAACTTATATTATAACTTCAATAGAAATTATGAATGTGTATTCTCTCTACAGCAGGATGTCCCTATAATGAAAGATCTTCACAGAAACTCACCACATAGGTATTCATGAAACCAAAACAAGTCGATATAAGCCACCTTACCTCAGTTCAAAGCTGCTGGGCGCTATAGACGGGTCTGGGGAGTTACATTTTTCTAATCGTTCTTTGCTTTATAACTTTCCCTTTTGGGAAACACATTTCAATTTGTCTGTAATGTATTTTACCTTAATGTCGTTATGTAGTTTTAAACTGGCTCAAAGATATTTTTATGGACGAATTTCCCTTTTAACCTGACGAGTACGCACTGATGATGACTTAACAGTCGAAAGCGCTCTGCTACGAATATTGAATGAATAATCTTGAACGAAATACAAATCTTCCCTCCTTTGGTATATATTCACGCTGGCATAGCTTTGTTGGGCAATATAACCCACACCCTAATGATGATAGATATCATTTCATGGGGATATATCTCGAGTTTTTTGGAAATAAACATCTAGAACTTCTAGGCCGATGGAAAGAAAAAGGTTCGAATATGACATTTCCATTGCGAAACTCATTTTCTATAGAAAATCATCCTGATGAAATTCGATTACTCTCATATGGTTCCAACAAAATTAAAATTTTAGCAAGCATCAGTCAACCCCAAGACAATTAAGAGATATTTCATAAAAAAATTTCGAAATGTTTTTTTCCGCGTATACTAAGATTTACACCACGAACAAAATGGATGCAAGCACACTCACCTCAGTACATTGTGTTTCAGTCTGGTCGCCAAAAACGGCTCTGGCTTTACTCAGTACAAAAAAAAACAACAATAAATATCTGATAGTACTTTTCGATTTATTTCATATCGTATACTCATTTCGTTTGTATACGTGAAAATAATGACAATTTTGAACAATTTTTATTAAATATCTGTTATCGTTTCGGTGTTGACGAATGCTTTGAATTACTAAATTCTAATGTTGTCGAAACCATGAGAGAGTGATCCAATTTTATCAAGAATACCTTTTTTGTAGTTTACAAGTTACGCAATCCAGATTTTATATTCCAATACCTTGTTTCCAATTCGCGCAGAAGTTTCAGATGTTAATTCACTGAAAAAAACAAGTTCCACGTCCATGGAATGATATACATCATGATCATATGATATCGGTTTTATTGCCTAATGAATAAGTTTTGTCAACGTACCAAATTTTAGTGAAATCTTATGAGCCGCGTTTCAAAGTTATGAAGCAAAAAACATTTGAAAATTGTAACTCCAGAGCCGCCTAGCGACCAAACTAAGCAACTTTGTACGGAAGTAAGTTTGCTTGTATCGAATTGTTTTGGTCTGAAGAATATGTGGTGCGTTTTTGCAAAGACCTTTTAGGGACACCCTGTATACTGTGATAATAGCGAATAGCACGGTACGACTTGGCAACATTGCGTCTGAATCGCAACTTTCCATGTGACGTTTCACGTTTCACTATTCTATTTATGTTCCTATATCTCTCGGTTTTCCATAACATTAAGGTTGCCATGTAAATTTAAAAAAAAATCTTATCTCCTATGCTTATCTGCGAAATAATTAATTGTTTCATAATGGTTTGGTGCTGTTTCAGAAGTTTATTGTTGGTGGTATGTATTAGTGCAGTGAAACAGTGAAACGATAATGTGCATTGAAAACACTATTGTTTTGTGATTTTGGTATGTTTTGCAACATTGTGTCAATTTATTTCGTGTGGCCTGTTATTTTTTGATAAAGGTAAGTCCATTTATCTCTATTTATCATTTAATTCTTTTGTGTAACAATTTCTGAAATTTTTAATACCTATATTTCCGTTACTTCACCTGTATCAAATTCGCCCACTGAGGATTGTGGTATGCCAAACGTCAAGTGTGACGTCAAAATTCCGCCCCCGCTGGATTTTGAAAAATAACAGCAACATTTTATGAATCAGTGAAAACAAACCTGAAAATAATTCTGCACCTCTACCTATTACTATTGCAGGTAGGCATTTTCATTCTTCTCAATCAGTGAACTTATCACAGCTGTGCCCTTGGCAGTAACCTAATAAAACAGATATATCTCTGGTGGGGGTGGGTTTATTATTGTTTATACAGGGTGATCCGGGTTTACTGAATAAAACTTGAGATAATAGTCCAGGAACGGCAGGAACCAATCAAACTTGATGACATTTCTTATGTCATATTTTTCCGAGGTTATAACGAAAATCATGGTAAAACTGCACTTATACACATATACGATGTTTTTTTACGATTTTTTTTGTACCTACCTATTTTTGTCTGAAAAACACGAATTTGATCATGAAAATGTGAACAAACCAATATTTATCGAGATATTCCAAGAAAAAGTTCGAAATGTTGCCTTCTTTTCCCCTTTGTGTTGGATGCATTGACAGCCAGATTGACAGGTACTTGCTCTTTTCATTTCGTCATTAGACACTTTGTATACTCTTGATGTTCTTCAATGACACATTTTAAGATGGAAAATTCAACAGGAAATATGATTTTTATAGTGAGTTTTTCCTATTTAGTGAGCAAGCATATGAAGCATACCAGATGACCGCCATTTAATCCATAGGCAATCCAAATACGAGATGTCAAATGTCAATAGATTGCTTTGGAATGACATTACACACGCCATTATTTCGAATGATATTCTCCCTTCTTTTTACTAAACATGGATAAATCGCAAGAAATTCATATTTCTAGTTGACTCCGAGGTTGACTCATATAATAAAAAAAATGTTTCCAACATTGTGTGATATATATAAATGTTCCAATGATGGAAAAAGAAGGGCAAATTGCGAGGGGTAAATCTCCAGGAAAAATGTGTACACCAGACTTCCAATTACCAAAGACTTCCAAAGACTTCCAAAGACTCCCAAAGACTCTCAAAGACTTCTAAAGACTTCCAAAGACATCCAAAGACATCCAAAGACATCCAAAGACATCCAAAGACATCCAAAGACATCCAAAGACATCCAAAGACATCCAAAGACATCCAAAGACATCCAAAGACTTCCAAAGACATCCAAAGACATCCAAAAACATCCAAAGACTTCCAAAGAATTCCAAAGACTTCCAACGGAGTGTACACCAGACTTCCAAGGAGATTTACCCCTCGGCAAATTGTTCTAAATTCGATCCAGAAGACAGGCGGAAAAGAAGGTGGAATTTGTAACTTTATAGTGAAATATCTTAATAAATAATGGTTTGTTCACATTTTCATTATCAAATTCGTGTTTCCAGACAAAAATACCTCGAAAAATACGTAAGTACCAAAAAAAAAAATTCGTAAAAAAACCCATCGCATGATAAGTGCAAAATTACCAAAAATCACATTTCTAGTTGACTCATATAATAGAAAAAAAAATGTGTAATATATAAATTGTCCAATGAAAAAAGAAGGGCAAATTGTTTTAAATGCGATCCAAAGGACAGGCGGAGAAGAAGGTAAAATTCGTAACTTTATAGTGAATGGTTTGTTCACATTTTCATTATCAAATTCGTGTTTTCCAGACAAAAATAAATAATCAATATTTTGATACCTATATACAGGGTGGGCCACCAGTAACGCCTCGGTCTCTAGAAGGCTAACCACTCATCTTCTTGGAATTCTTCCTCTCTAGGAAGTTGCATGTCAACATAGGCTACCATTTGAAATTATTTTGAAACATACAGGATGTCCCCAAAAATCACAAAACACTGAAGTTGAACTTTTTTCAATCGAACACCCTATATATTATTTCATTTTGAGATTCTCCCTGGTGAGCTGATTTCAACAATCCATCATACTTGGGGTCTAGCAGTTATAATTACTGAGATATAGGGTGTGAGAAATCGAGATTTTCCAAGTTCAAGATTTTTTTGTGTCTAAACCATTCATAGTTGGTCAAAACGGCTCACATGTCCCTATCTCAACTTTTGATCAACTATCTACTGACATTTAATTGAAACAAATACAGGGTGGTGCAGAATTCAGAATCTTGATCACCCGGTATATGTCCCAATTAAATATCAGTAGATAGTTAATCAAAAGTTGAGATAGGGACATGTAAGCCGTTTTGACCAATTATGAATAGTTTCGACACAAAAAATTCTTGAACTTGGAAAATCTCGATTTTTCACACCCTATATTTCAGTAATTATAACTGCTAGACCCCAAGTATGATAGGTCGTTGAAATCAGCTCATCAGGGAGAATCTCAAGATGAAATAATATATAGGGTGTTCGATAGAAAAAAGTTTAACTTCAGTGTTTTATGGTTTTTGGGGACACCCTGTATGTTTCGAAATAATTTTAAATGGTAGCCCATGTTGACATGCAACTTCCTAGAGAGGAAGAATTCCAAGAAGATAAGTGGTTAGACTTCTAGAGACCGAGGCGTTACTGGTGGCCCACCCTGTATATATATACTATATAATATACTCGATGATATATACCGGGTGATTTCTCATGGTGGCTCGTCCCTATAACTTTTTTACTCGCTTTTTCATAATTGAAGATGGAAATAAAATAAAATTCAAGGGGGGGCGGGGGAAGGAGGAATTATCGAGGAAATTATATACAGTTCAATTTACTTACATGCTCGCTTACATGTTTTGACATATATTTACTATATTTAGCTGCTTTGTTGTTCTCCGGTTTGACCAGAAATGCGACCAACTCGAGGACCAACTTTCGATTCTCAGCTTATTTCGATCGAGAATTACCGAGAACTACTTTGTAAATCCAACAACACCTCATTTCACACTTGTCAATATTTGACAATGGAGTCATTTTCATTTCAATTTTTATTTTTCATCGATCTAGAATGCGCTGCCAACATGCCTATCTTGAATACCATGGATTGTGTAAATCGCTTTATTCTATTATTTCGACTTTATTTTCTTCATCAAGTAAAATAAGAAAAATACGACTCTGTGGCTTATGGCTTCACCAAAGGCATAACCACCTCGGTTTCAAGCAGGTATATACTGCTCGGTATATGGAATAGGACGTATTTTTTCTACGGCTGTAACACAATATTACTCTTGTATCACTGTTTTCGATAAATCAATGAGGTAGTTTGTATGTTGAGTTGTATGTCATCAATTTTATTTCCGTATCTGGATAGCACAATGACTTCATTTTGTTCAATATTTCACAAAATCTCATTTCCCATGAAATGTCAAATTTCAAGCAATGAAAGCTCTGTCTAATAGACGAGGGGCACGACTTGCTAATTGATGAGCCCGAGGATGAGCATTACTTAAGAGAAAATTAAATGTCTACAAGCCAAAGAAATGGAAAATTTCGCTATTATCTGTTAAGTACAGCCGTAGAAAAAGTATAGTGTGAAACTCGCACGGAATGCTAATTTACTACTCCTATGATTTGCAGCATATGAGCCGTAGGCGAATGCTGAAAACTTCATCCTCTTTGGAAATGACTAAACATTCCATTCGCATTCCATGCTCATTAAACACGAGTACTCGCACGAGTATAAACAATATAATATTTTACTCGATATTTTGCGAGATATTTTGTTAGTATAGGTATAATGTCTTCTTGCAATTATTCAGAAAAATAGATCTGACGAACCACCCCCTTCCTCTTGAAAAAAAAAATCAAGTCAACTGGAAAAATCTGGGGAAAATTTTATATTCGCGGCTGTTAAATGATTCTTAAAACGACTTTGAAGTCATAAGGCGAGCCCTAAGGTCATATTTTTCCGTATTTTTTCGAGTATTTTGCGAGGTATTTTCCCGAGTATTTTCCCATGTTATTTGATCAAGAATGAAGCATTTACACAAGGATTTACAGGATCCATGACATTCTAGATCAAAAAATTAAAATTGAAATAAAATTGACTTCATTTGTCAAATATTGACAATAATATCTCGGTCTCTATATATCTTGGTGAATATGTCAACAAATGTAAATTAAACTATTGAAGTATGATACACCATCCCCAAATTTTGTTTTTCAATGAAACAAAAGTTATAGGCGTAAGCCACCTTGAAAAATTACCCGGTTATAGCCCAGTCGAAATCGAGACAAAAATTCGATAACGTCGCGAAACATGATTTATATCTGATTTTTCACGAGATTGTTTGACCAAGGTTTGGACCCACCTCGGGACCCTGTATAGTACAGTATAGTGTATACAGGGTATGTCACGACGAGCTTACACTGTCTTGATATCGAGAATCAGTCTGGAGAAATTCATGAATATGTGCATGCTTATATTTTAGAAAACGCTCTTCATTCAAAATATTTCCGATAATGCAGTGTTGCCACTTCTACTAGAAAGATTCTCCATGAAAAGCTGATTTCATCGATAAATCACACTTGGGATATATCCGAGGATATATCGATTAATATTATAGAGATATAGGGTGTTCAAAATCGAGATTTTTCAACTTAAGAATTTTTTTGTGTTGAAACTATGCATTATCGGTCAAAACGGCTGACATGTTTCAATCTCAACTTTTGATTCAGTATTTACTGATATTTAATCGGGACAGATGCAGGGTGGTTCAAGATTCAGAATTCTGATCACCCTGTATCTGTTCCGATTGAATATCAGTAAATAGTAAATCAAAAGTTGAGATAAGGACATATGAACCGTTTTGGCCGATAATAAATAGTTTCGACACAAACAATTCGTAAGTTGAAAAATCTCGATTTTGAACACAAGTGTGATGTATCGATGATATCAGCTCTTCAGGGAGAATCTAAGAATGCAATAAAACA